TTGACAATTGAGCACTGATATCCCTAGTCGCCAATATAAAATTCCGATTACTCGAGGCCAAATACATATTATTATCATCGAAATTAGCTAGATTGAAGTTGTAGTACGGTCAAACGGGGCTTTATGTTTCCGGTAATAAAGAAACCGTTTTTTAAAAAAAATTAACTTAAATTAAAAATTAAAAGTTTAAAATATAGAAGCAAAAATACGTGTGAACAGCTCGAAGTCTATGTCTAATCTAAAACTAAAAGTTTATTCGCCTGGGACATCCAAACATACAAAATTCTCAGGAAACTGCTTATATCGGCGATGCAATGGTCAGCATGTTCCCACGAATGGCACACATAACTCTTCCATCCCTAGAAGGAACTCGAGGGTGGAATCACTCGTGTTTCGTCTATTGTCTCAGTAGCGGGAGGTTTTCTCAGGATTCTTGAATTTTTCATTTTGTTGTTCTTGATTGCGTAATATATGCCGCAAATCAATATTGCGGTTATTAGGATCCATGGAAGCCAATTCATGTATGTACTTTGGTGAATTTTGGTAAATTCTGGAAAATCTTCTGTTGAACTCCGAAGTTGAAGTTCGTGTAGTTTGTCGAAAGGGATTTCCTCTAATTTGATCTTCTCGATCTTTGACACTAGAATTTGGACTGATTTTATTTCGTTGAGGGTGGCTGGATGACCGTGAAATATTTCTTTTTAATTTTTGTACACATTGTCATATTCGGCATTTTTATTGAACATTTTGGCGGTACTGTGAAAAGGCGGGTTCCGGTTATTGAAGTTACTTCGCTTTCTACGCAGTCTGTTTGAATTCTTTGTTCTTCCGGAAAGATTCCAATATAGTGGGCGGAATCGATTTCTTCCGTCATGGCTTTTTGGATATGTACTGGTACTTGTTGACATTGGTCCAAATTGTTGCTCAATGTCAACAGTGACGTGATAGAATCAGGATTTTCGTGTATATGTAGAAGTTGATTGTATTTGCAGAAATAGTTTGGTTTGAGGTCAGTGCATCTTCATTTTGGTATTGGTAAAGGTCCGTACTTAGGGTGAGGTAGGTCGAAGGTGGGATTATGATGGATTGATTCTTATTAGGTACGGAGAAGAGGTGCTAATTATCGAAAGTTTTTGAATGCACAAGAGGGAAATCCAGTGAAAACACGATTTTATTTTCTATCGCAAAAACATTAGTTTCTATGACTTCGTAATAATTCATGTATTCGTTTTGTGAAAATAACAATTGTGAGTGGTGGTGAGAATTATGACCGCCATTTGCACCGCTATAACTTAAGGGATATTTAATCCAAGTGAAGCTTTGAATGTGTCTTTTATAGAAACAAAAGTCACATTCAAAGCTCCACTCAAATTAAATATCCCTTAAGTGATAGTTAAGTGATAGCCGTGCAAATGGCCATGAAATTCTTTGACGATTTCTTTAAATTCTTTTTGTGGAATTATGCTATGATGTAAGGTTTTTAAACTAGCTATGCTTATGGGATTTTCTATATCGTTTAGAAAATCTAGCACGGAGTCCAAATTTAACTTAATTTGGTCCATTATTTCGTGAATTTCTAGGTAATGCACGTAATTGGATTTTGTTTGTTGTAAATCACTTGCAATGTCATTAATTTTATTTTCGATTGCTTTGTGATTCTTCGAAACTACACTCATTGTTTGATTGATACTTTTCATTAGGTGAGAGGTTAAAGATATTTGCTTGTTTACTTTTTCAATTATTTTGTTTTGTTTACTTTCGAGTTCCAAAATATTATCATGTATTGCGTCTTCTTGGTCCAGATTACCAGTAATATTTTTTACTAGTGAGCCTAAAGGGTTAATTAAGCCTCTTTTTGATCTATGCCCTAGATTGATTGATTTTAATTTCTGATTGACTACGTTTACTTCGTAGCTTAACTGTTTATAAGTTTCAAGTAACGGAAGTCTGTGAGCAATTAAAGAGGAATTTATGATGTTTTCTACCTTTTCATATTGATAGGTTATAGAATTAATTTGCTTTTGCAAAGATGTCAAATCGATGTAATGTAATAATGTGTGGGTGGCTATTTTAATCTTGGCAGTTCCTAGTTTGAAGGGAAGTATACCAGGATTGTTGTCAAGATTCTGTATTTAAACTTTCTGTGCCCTCGTCAGGTGAAGTAGTGTCATCAACCTGTGAAAGGGTTTGGTGGACTTGTTTGTGATAAGTACTTTGCGTGGTAGTGACAGTTGAGTCATTACTTCGCAAGACGTGTTCTGGTTTAAAGGATTTGTTTTGCCCTGGCGGTCGGTTAGTTTTTTATAACCCATTGTTCCGGGTTGAATTTCGAGAGGGTCTTTTCGTTTTTCGTTGGCTTGAGAAGTTACTTTTTCTTTATGCTCGCTCATTTTATTATGAATGTTTTTATAAATGTCTGAGATTATCTCTTTATGTTTATTTAATTCGTGATTAATTAATTGGATATCGTTATCAATATCGATTGGTTTCTGTTTTGTTGCTGAATGGATTGAATTGTTATACCCTATAATAACAAAGTTTAACTTTTCAAATGAACTTAGGTTTGGTTTGGAGAAAACTAGAGTCCACATGTGCTCTAATAATGTAGAGTGAAATCTTTCAACAATAGAGTTGCTATTTGGGTTTAAGGGCAAGGTGTAATTGATTTTATAAAGTTTGGCGAATTTTTTAAGAAGATTTTGGTTGAATTCGGTACCATTATCAGATACGATGTTTTCTGGGAGTTTGTAATTTGAGACAAACTGTAAGAGAGATTGATACACATGTACGGCTTGGTAGGACATAGGCTTGTCCAAATTTCGAGAAACTATCACAAATTGTTAATGCAACAGTTTTTTCAAATTTGAAAGTATCCACATGAATGGTTTCAAATGGTTTTTTAGGCGTGGGTGTTAATTGCAATTTTATTAATGGTGGGTGACGTTCATATTTTACTTTTTGACAGATTGAGCAACTATTTATGAATTTTCTGACATCATCATTCTTTTTGGGCCAATAATATTTTAGGCGTAGTTGGTCAATCGTTTCGTGAATACCTCTATGATTGGTGATACCTTCATGTTGGCTTTTAATGAGATTTTTCTGCCTATCTTCCTTAGTTACATCACAAAGCATTTTATTAGATTTCAAAAACTTGTGAGATGCGTATTTAAATGTTTGCGGTATAAACTTACACATTTGTTTAAACAGCATTTCGTCTTCGTTATTTTGAAAAAGGAAGACGTATTGCCTTGTTGGTTCTACGTATTCTTTTATGTATTGTATAATTTGTGCTTGGAAAGAATCGTTTGTTATGTAAATATACCATCGCGTTCTATTTACAGGATTTTGGAAAATTTTCTTTATTTCAATTCTGAGGTTATTTTCGATTTTTATAATGACTATTTGACACAGAAAATAATTTATTGGGTTTTCACTAATGTGAATAGATAAAATGGGGTTTTCAGAATCGGTATGTACTGTGTCATTATCATTAAATTCGTCAGGGTCAGCTTGGCTAGTAATTGACTGGTTGTCGGTCGTAAAATCGGGATTGTTTTCATCATTTTCAAAAGCTGTTGTAATTTGATCATTGGGTCCGTGACTTGTGCTCGGAAGCTGGTTGTCTAGAACGGGGTTATTGTTTTATTCTTACATATATTGCAAAACAGGCGGTAAATTTGAGTCAAGTCTGTTGTCGTTATTTTCAGGTGGTGTTGGCGATGTATCATTTACTTTATTTGCGTTTATCTCGACTCTTGATAGCACGTCAGCATTTGTGTTGTTTTTCCCTTTTTTTATAAATTATTTGATAGTCGAATTCCTCGAGTTTCAGACGCCATCGAACTAAGCTTGAACCTGAATTTTGTTCTTTTAAGTTCATTAGCCATTGGAGTGGGCGATGGTCAGTGACGATTTTAAATTTTCTCCCAAATAAATATGGTCTAAAATAGCGCGTTCCCCAGACAATACTCAAGAGCTCTTTTTCAATTACTGAATAATTTTGCTCGGCAGAATTTAATGTTCTAGATGCGTAAGCAATTGGTTTATCTTGTCCGATCGGACCTTGTGATAGTACACAACCTATGGCAAAGTTGTTTGCATCTGTAGTTAAGTTAAATTCTTTTGAGAAGTCGGGATATTGCAACAGCCGCTCGTTAGTTAATAATACTTTACAGTCTTCGAATGTTTTTACGTAGGTGGGATCTTTTACATTAATGGTCGCGTGCTTTTTGAGACAATTAGTAAAGGATTTTGTTATTTTGGCGAAATTCGGAATGAATTTACGATAGTAGCCCAGAAGTCCGAGAAATCCCTTGATTTCTTTTGTTGTTTTTGGGATCGAGTATTTTAGTATCGCCTTATTTTTGTCAGGATTTGGTTTTATGCCTTTTGTTGTCACGATGTGGCCTAGGAAAGCTACTTCCTTTCTTAGGAATTCCGATTTATCGGGTTGGCTTTTTAGGTGACTTTCGCATAGGCGTTGAAAGACTGATTTAGGTTTGTCATGAGTTCTTGTAAGGAGGTCGAGTAGACAATAATGTCGTCCATGTATGCGAAGCATATTCGGTTTTGTAGGCCCTTAAGGACACTGTCGATAATTCTTTGGAACGTGACGGGAGCGTTTTTGAGACCGAAGGGCATTCTTACATTTTCGTAGTGCCCATTCTCGACATTAAATGCGGTCTTTTTATGTCGTCGGGATGCATCTCTATCTGATAAAATCCGCTCGCGAGGTCTAGGGTAGAAAAGTATTGACAACGGCCTAATTTGTCGAGTATGTCCATTATGTTAGGTGTCGGATAACGGTCGTCGATGGTTTTGGCGTTAACGTTCGGGTAATCCACTACGATACGCCATTTCCTCTTACCCGAGGCGTCCGGTTTTTTGGGTACGATCCAGATTGGTGAGGACCATGGAGAATCGCTGTGTCTAATGATATTTTGTTGCAGCATGTCACCGATCTGTTTTTCTCCTTCGAGTTTGTGTATAAACGGATATCAATACGATTTGGTATAGACCGGAAGTTCGTCAGTAGTTTTTATTCTATGTTCTACTTGGTTAGTGAAAGTCAAAGGTTGATTCTCGAGATGGAATATGTCCGAATATTTTTGGAATAATTTTTCTATGTGAAACTTCTCTTCCTCGTTCATGTGTTGGGTTCGAATGATATCGACAATATCGATTCTATTAGGGAATTCATTAGGTGTATTTTCTATAGAAACATTATAGATTTAAACATCGGCTTTATTGAACGCTTGTACGGGAATTGGGTTATAAAAAGATATTTTTCTGCGATTGACAAGAAATATCAGCATTTTTGACCGGTTGACAAGTCGCAAAACTTAATATTCTGGTATTTTAATTATGGTTCAATAGTGGCTAAGGCATCAATGAATAACAATACCGGAAGCACTTTTCCGGCGTAGGCCGGGAAAGAGTTTTGGTAAATTTTGAGCCTCTTGAGCGTTTGGTTTCCAAACATTTTTGGGCGAACCAAAAACTTGTTGGTTGGTGAAAAATTTTTGTGTTGGCATCTGTCTGGGATTAACGTTTATTGGGGCATGCGGAAATGTGTTACCGGGAGGTTGAAACGTTTGTGTTGGCGTGTAATTTTGTTGAAAATTGTGGAAACGTGGAAAGTTATTTTGATGAAAATTCTGCTTCTGTTGATTTTGATGTTTATTTTTATTAGCAAAATTATCATTTTGGGGTTTTTGCAAATGTCTTATGTTACTTATGTTACTTTCTACTTTTCTAGCTTCGGCTAGATCTTTTGGTTTCATCGAACGGATCGTTGAACCTAGTGGTTCTTTCAAACCTGCCAAAAATATTGTTAAAGGTGTAAATTATAAAAGTTCTTTTTAACAATACTTGTTGGATCATTAAAATTATGGGTATCAATATAATTATGTGAAGCACTTAAATTAGACATACCTCTAGTATGGAATTGCAAAGGGGGTTCGTTTGCGTATTGTCTAAGTTGATCTAAATCGAACAATAAGCCATTTTCGTTTCTTTGATCACCAAAATGCGCGATCAAAGCGTCCTTGACAGTCTTCCAGTCCTTAGATACGCAAATGCTGTAAACTTCCCTATTATTTTAGCATGAATTCCATAAATTATTGCGAGATTTTGCACACAATTAAGATATTCACTATTCCAATAAGTCGAAATCAGTTTTTGACTTATTTCAAGAAATGAAGCTAACTCTAAATGGTTGCCATCGAATTTTGGCACTATTTCGAGTAGTTTGGTTTCGAAATGTGGTGGAGCCATCGTTTCGATCCTCTCACTTATGGAAATATTTGAAAATAAATTTTCTAGATGTAAAGAAGTATTTAAATCTAACTGACTTGAATAATTACTATTATCGATTAAAAATGACTCGTTTTCACTAGTTTCCGTCTCAGAATCAGATAAATCCGGGGAGATAGACATGGACAGGCAAAGGACAATGTAATAAAAATGGGACTTACAACAGGAAGCTCTTAATTTTTCTTCTTCAATCTTTACCTCTCTTCACAACTATTTCCACACTTGAGTCTTACACTATACACAATGTTCTTGTGCGTTTAACAGAGTTTTTGTTTTCGGGTTCAAGGTTCGTTTCTTGAATTAACGATTAGGACCGAAGGGCTTTTCGACGAGAAAGCCCTTTCAAGACTCCTACCGACTGCGCCACTTTATGTTTCCGGTAATAAAGAAACCGCTTTAAAAAAAAAATAACTTTAATTAAAAATTACAAGTTTAAAATATAGAAGCAAAAATACGTGTGAACAGCTCAAAGTCTATATCTAATCTAAAAACTAAAAGTTTATTCACATAGGCATCCTGGTTTCAAACATACACAATTCTCAGGAAACTGCTTATGTCGGCGATGCAATGGTCAGCATGTTCCTACGAATGGCACACATAACTGCACTTCCGCATTGGTCCTCTGGTGACGTGGCAGTCCACCTATAAGTACAGCAACGGTGTCTCTAGACGAGGCGCCAAACCTTTCACACATTCCTCAGCTTGTTTTGACCTCCTTGAAATGGCGTCCAGTTGTTCCCTATAACCGTATACACGGGGAAATTCCTCCTGCAATCGTTGCTTCCACTCCTCCCAAGAACGCTCTTGCACTCCCTCCCGTTCCAATGTGCCTAACTGGTTGTTGAACCATCGCCTAGCCTCACCATGCAGTACGCACACATGTATGAATCTGTAAAATTTTTCCATCGTCGTCCCAGCCACTCTTTCACATTATCACAGACCTCAGTTGAACTCTGTGCATCAGGATCAAAATAGGACAACACTCCTCTTGTCTTCGATGGTTCCAATCGCCCCTGTCTTGGTGTATGTGCGCTTGTGCTGTCACTATGTCTCTCCGGATTACTCGATATTGAAAGAGATACTACCTCTCGTGCCTCCTTAAGTGCCTTCGCCTAGATGTGACTTCTCGGAGACTGCACTGACGCTAAAGCTGCTTGTGATTGCAGGTTTGTGATCGCTGTTGCAATCGCCTTCGGTATGGTTTCTTGGAAGGCTGCCATTTGAGCCTCTGCCCTACGTTGGACCTCCTGCTGAATTTCAGCTTCGAGCACCAAGCGACGATTTTCACGCCTAAGCAATAATATTTCAGGTAATTCATGCTCAGACTCACCTGGGGCATGTAGCTGGTCACTCCCTTCGTTCAATTCAGAACATCTTCAGCGCACTCGTCTTCCAATAACGAGTTATTGTAGTCCGGCTCTCGCCGTTTTCTAGGGTTTTTGTTTGAATTATCATCTTTCTGTGATCCATTGTCTGAAAGCCTTGTATCCGTGTCATCCGCAATTAACAGTCACTAAAGCTTATCCCACTTCTAATATGTAACGAGAATAAATAAAATTGAACCGTGTTCTTATATAATTCTTTCTCTAATTGAAAACAAAACGAACAGAACAAAAATAAACAACAACTGTCTTCATAGAATCCTCACAACGCCTTATAGCCACCTCATACGTCAAAAACACTCGCCACCAGCATACGACGGCGCTCCATGTATTGTGGGTTGCCAGCATCCAGGCCACACCGCGCCATCTATGTTGCCACCTTCAAAGTTTCTGCAACAATATACGAAAATCAAAAAATAAAATTGAATATGTTACAATATAGTTGTATGACGTTAAGAATATCTAGTTAAAAAGTCCAAAAACTTATAACAATTTGCAGAGTAGTTAGGTCGTGATGTTATTTTGCGCCACAAGTGTTTTGAACATCATAATCGAGAACTATCTAGGCTATTATCTGGGTCTCCTATATTCCTAATTAACATTGTCGAGAGTCTCAATATCAATGGAAAAAACTTCGTAACAATCCTATACAATACTCGATCCGGCAAAATATGTAATGGACTGTAATATCTGTAAAATTTTTTTGTATTGTTTCTAGCAGCGGAATAGTTTTTCCCTTTTAACTTTCTCTTCCGTCTTCTGAAACCATTTTTTTTTTTCAGAATTAGAGATACTATTCTTTCTAGAAGAGTAAAAGTTGTAAATATAAAAAAAAAATATATCATTAAGAGCGAATTCTTCGAGCCACACCATTCTCTATTATGAAATTTATGAAATTTATCCCTTGCAATTATTCTAAGTACGGCGTTTTATCAACTTTTTTAATACACTTGCTCGGGCTAACAGCATTTAATGTCAATATTTCATTGTCACAACTCAACAAATTACGATGCTCATTTATCATTTTTCCACTGGCATCCACTGCCTTCTTATTTTAAATGAATGATGTATTTTTCAAACCGCATTTTTTTTGTGTGTGTTTAATAATTATTTTTTATTTTTAAAAAAAATTCACAGATGAAATTTTCATTTGGTAAGCTAATTGGATTTAAATTTCGACGAGCTTAAGGCGAAAAAGCAAATCTCTCGAAGTTAGTTTCTTTTATTTAGGAATTCCACATTCAATTTAGCTTAATAAGACCAAGATTTGTTTTTATTTGTGCTGCGGCGGGATTTTATTATCTCTAAAGTGGAAAATGGCATTCCTAAATATTTTGCCACTTTAAATTAATTTGGGATGCTAAAAATAATCTCTTGACTGATTTTTTCTTTCAATGATTTTCCAGTGTTTAAATTATTATTTTAGGGGTTTTCAAATTAGAGAGTCGTGAGAATGAATCTTACTTTAAAATACACGTACGTAACATGGAATTATTTCGAACTATTATTAGTAACATTGTACATACATGCACGCATATGAGGAAATTTTAGGAATTCGAAGCGATATTTTGATAGTTGGGGCTCATTACCTATCCAAACCTGTTGGAATGTTGGTCAAAACCCAGAGACATGTAAATGGATGTGGTTTGTGCACTTAAAGCCATTTCAAAGGGTATTTCACGTGTTAATAGGGTGATGAATTTCCACGTAAAATACGTTCCATTAGTTTTTTGCAACATCCAACTGAACTTCAATCAATGACCTTTGATGTTAAGAGTAGTTGGCAGCGTAAAGACAAAAATAAATCTAGGGCTGAGTGTTATTACTTGAAATCTACAGAGTTAGGATACAGCCTGTTAAAAGGGTCACTATAGATTGTCTATATAATTATCTGATTGCATTCAAAAATCCTAAATGCCTTTCATTTATTCCACAAAAACAATTTTCTATCAAACAAAAAAGTAAATATAGAAAAATTGTTTCTATAATTCTTCTCTCCAATAACAAACAAAAATCGTTATTGGTGCAACGCAATTTCTATTTCGAATATATGACACGAGACAAGAGCCTGCAGCGACTTTTAGAAGTTGAATCGAAGTGGTTTCCCTATAAATTGTTATTGGCCGCCTGTTCTATAATAAACTGCCAGTTCGTGTAAAGAGTTTTCTTATTCTAGGTTATAAGGGTGCAATCAAAAAGCTTTTAATGGAAACTGCGTATTAAGGATTTCGTGATGTTTTGTATATTCTAGCGTCTTTGTGTCATCGTATTGTTTTTTTTTTTAATATTAATCTTTAACAGCAAAATCTTATAAGAATAATTAAAATTTTTAAATAATTTAATGTGTTCTAGCCATTATAAAACTCAGTTTTTTTATCACAGTATTGAGGACTATGAAATTTTTAAATTAGCTCGACCAATAATTGTATAGTGTATTTCTTACAAAAGACATTAATTGCCCATCTGTTGAAAATCATAATTGCTTAAAATTTTCACCAAACTCAGTTAAACTTTAATAATTAACAGACCATTCAATTACCAAACTGAACCTGATAGTTGGACAGGCCTTCGGCGTTCGCTTAATAATGAATACTACTGCCTATTAACGGTCTAATTGATAGATTGCAAGTTTGAAAATCGATTTCTGAGATCAGAATACTGTGGATTTCCAATTTACTGTTTCAGTCGTAAAGTTTATCCGAGTTATCAAAATTTATTAAATGTGCTCTTCTAATAAAATACTACAATTGTTCTAGAGAGCTATTCATATCAAAGCAAATACTTGATAGTGGTCAATAACGCTACTTTTTTTTAAGGAGTGCGCAGGTCTAACGCTCAAGAAAAACTAAAAAAAGCAATTTTGGTAATATGCGCACATAGTATAATAGAATCTCATTCACGTTGTATTGATCAGATTTAATTCGTTTTTGATCAAAATAATTTTCTGGCTTCTTAATATTTAACTTCAAAGTAATCTCCCATCTTCAAAGGTCAAAAATTTTCACTACGAAACAAAAAAAAAAACGTTTTAGAGTTTGAACCCCCCGAGTCTGCACAGGGATTCGATATTTATGTAAGTAGAGACGTTATTATGACACCTGCATATTATATTATATAATATATCAATATCAACCAATGAAGTAACAATCACAAAGTTACAACCATATCCTAGAGCTGAATGGCGAGGGTATATTGTCAAAGTTTCAGTAAATTAAATTAATCCGACAAGCGAAAACCGGGCCACTTGCGACAACATTCACCCGATAGAGAGTTTGAAATTCTGCAATGGTCAATAAGAAAGCCCCGCTGATCCTATTGCATAAAGCCGTAATTTGATTTCGGTTTTCGTTCAGCATGAGAATAATCTTATTGTGTCAAATATTCCAAATCCAATATAAGAAATCCATCGACAGACATTTTTAATTATACTTACTAAATCAGCTTTAAATAGTTAAAATCCTACTATATTATTCTCATCAAGATCTATCGTCAAAGATTTGTATTTATTCTAGCCTATCTGCATGACCCGAGGCAGATGAAAGTCGTTTATTTTACTTTTAAACGCCAAGACACTCCATT